CCAATTATATCAACTTGAGAATGTACCTAAATTTTATTAAATTTTATGGAGAATATTGGAGGGTATAAATCTGATAAACATTTTTGTTGTCTGTAGCTCTTATCTTTATCTTCGAGGTATACTTTCAAATTACTTACGGACATTTATCGAAAAATGGAAACGGATATATAAGGCAAGAGATAAATTTATTCTGCTAACATTTTATTTAAGTTTTATGGAGAATGCTGGAAAGGTCGCAATAAGTGACATTTTATGGATTTAAGTTTTAAGTCAGCAGTTCTTATAATCTTCGAGATATGCCTTTATAATATTTGTTTAAGTAGCGATATTTATTGATATTAGGAAAATGGAAACGGATATATAAGACAATAAATACATTCTGTGATGACTACATTTTATTTCAGATTTAGGGGGAATGTTGGAAGGAATACAACTGTTCGATTTTAGATCTGAGTATACAGGAATGATAGAGTCGGCTACGTTTTCCTCTGCCTGTTGGATTAATAATTCTTAAACTGAACTTTAATTTGGGTCTTACGATTTCTTACAGTGCAGTTGTATCTGTATATGTTGAATTCTTATCGCAAATTTAACCATGCGGGCAATGCCCGAACATTCCCCGCCTTATCTTCAATTCTAAGCCCACGATGAACACTCTATCCGAAACTTTGAATACACTTATCCAAGAGCCTGTATAGTAGGATCAATACAATTTGTAAGTTAATAGCATATTAAATAGAAATTTAGAAATCCAGTTGGGGCTTAGAGTATCTATGAAAACAGCTTTGAGTCCATTTTATTAGGTTTCCAGATATGCCACATTCTGACACAATCGCATAAAAATATATACTAAATGCATACTAGATTTTTTTATTACAAATACAAAACAAACGGAGGCACATAGTATTATGTATACATACATAAAAGAACATCAAGTAATCGTTAAAGCAATATCAGTAAACAGGGCTAGTCTTTAAAAAAATTATACAAACATTTCAATATTCAACCGGAAGATGGAAGTTTGGGGAAGTTTGAAATTTGAGATATACTCTTAAAAACTTTTTCTTTTTGATGGTATCTTGACGAAACAGGGTATTTAATAGTTTCACTGTGTTTTTTACATTTTAGCACAATCTTATCAACATCGGAAAACTATATCCTACCTGGTATAGAAATAATCGTTTAAAAATTAAGTTCAGATACTTTTCTGTACTTCAAAATATCTTATTAACGAGATAACTTAATATTGGCATCTACGACTGCTAACGTGAACCTTTCATATTGACCAACTTTTATCTACATCAGATTACTGTATCATATAGTATTTGAGAAAATATAGACTGCTCAGCAATGACGAGCTTTACGATTATCCTAGCATATCTGCAAAGTCATTAGCCTTGTGTCTAAGAGGGAAATTAAACTTTGGCATGCCGAAGAAAGACGCTTTTTATAATTTGTAATTATTGCAATTTGTAATTATATTATGGTCTGGTCTTTGTCAGTTTACTCCACTGTGCGAATTGGACGGGTCATATTTGAAATGTTTTTGTAGGCAGCAGCACGAAGAATCAAATGCTAGTTGACTGCACCTATTAAATGTACACACCAACCGTCATACGCCGCACGCACACACACACACACACTATTACACACCAACACACACTATTACACACCAACACACACAGACACACACACACTTAATGGCAATGGAATTATTTTTGCCAGCGTTTATATAATTTTGTAGAGCAAATATTGCTGTAGCTGCTGGCACGAAAGTGAAACTTGTCTGGGCGCTGCCAGGGCGTTGGCATGCCTCAAGAATTTCCTGCACAACATTGTATGGTATTTTTATTTATTTTTATTTTATTTTATACTGATTCGCGACAGTGCACAGCAGCTGCTGTTTGGAATCATAAGTGCAAGGCGAACAGGCATAATAAGGCTTTATAACATTTACAAGTTCAACTCTAAGGAAAAGCGCACAAATATCGAAATAAATAAATGCATTCAAAAAGGTTTTACATACAAATAAATGCATTTTTAAATATCCAAGCTGTACGGATTTTATTTTTCGCTTCAAATATTTGGTCACCGGAAAACTTTAAATATGGTTGAGCTGGGAAATTGGGAAAACAAATAATTATTTCAAATTAATTACTGAGAGTTAAAAGAAAGTTTAGGCGCCTGTAAAACTCTTTAGATAACCGAAACAAACTTTATAAATTGTTTCTGTTAATTACTGAGGGATCTTACATGGAAAGGCGCTTAAAAAATGGTTTTGGTCTTGTTTTTGGTAGCTTAATTACTTCTTTAAAATATACTTTTGGCCAAATATAAAATATATTAGAACCAATTCAAGCTTTATTCCAATAACTAAACTTTATCTTTACCTTTCAAAATATTTACAATTTAAAATAACAGACTATATTTTATGTTTTCCTTTACATACAAATAGCTGTAATTAATTCTGCAGTCCGTTATAGCAAACGCAGATATTTTAAGGAATTTAATCGCAATTTATGACCTTCAATGTGCGTAGATATGCGTCCAAGTTCAGGTGCACACGCAGCTTAAAGCTACCTAGCTCTATCCCTGTTCCACTCGTGGTATTACCTGGTATATATGTAAAAACCAGTCCAGACCTGAAGCAACACTCAATACGCATGGTGTCAGAATAATTGACGCAGCAACTGCGTCATGGGTCAGACTCAAGAGTTGTTGTTTTTTTTTTTTTTTTGGTTTTGACTTCGTTTCCTAGTGCGCTGGGCGTTGCAATTCCGCCAACAAGTTGAACTAACCCAAGGCATATATCTGTATCCCACAGATACAGGCAGGCACACATTTGTATCTTGTAGCTGCAACAATAACTGTGACTCGCTCTGTCATTGCAAGTAATTTCAAAGCAACGGCAAGGCCATGTCCACTGTGTGTGTGTGTACATTTACCGGAGCAGCTTTCAATTCTGTTCGCTATTTGGTCTGCCAGTGCAAATAACATGACCCCGCCGCGACCGCATGGCGCCCCTCTCCCGCTCATTTTGTTCATTTACATGCAGCACAATGCGACAGACACAAATCAACGGAAATGTTGGCATTACGCATACGCACCGTTGCAAGGCAGCCAGAGGCAGATGCACAATCAATTTGTGACCACTTGATGAGGCAATCTGCTGCTTATTTACATTGATAACAAAAGAGATCTAAGTTAGATGCTGCCTGGTCATATATCAAAGCCAATAATACCTTTGGAGATCTTTGAAATCCATATAAAAGTATCTATAAGGATTGCTTTCAACAGCCAACAGTTTTGTTTAATAATCTTTAATTTTATTTAGGCATTAAGTGTGCTTAAATATGTTTGAAGATTTAGATTTAGTTTGAAATATTTTTAAGAACATATATCTTATCCTTAAGATAGACTTGTTAATTTACTGATACAATTGTGAATTCTTGTTTTATTTAAATGTTATTAATATTTAGAATCATTTTAATTTTGTCCATTTTATAAAGCGTGGCTTGCCATGTTATAGCCAAATCTTTTCGTCGATTCTTGGCAAAAACAATTTACAAAAAATAAATAAAAATACATTTTTTCGCATACAAAATGTATCTAGAATTGGTTTTTCTTAAAAAATGTTTATTCTATATATTTGTGTTAGAATCTATTTACTATTTTTATTAATTTGTTTATTATATTTTATTTACGTTTTTAGCTTTATATTATTATTGCAAATATCTCCTTGTTTTTTTTTTTTAGTTTAGGAATATGCTTTTTAGTTTTACGAACGAATTTAATATTTCTTATATTACTTTAAACTCTTCAAAGTTGACTAGTTCTCTGACAACTCATGCCAACGATTGGTAATTTTCAAGTGCGCAACATGAGCTATTTTTATACCAATATTTATTCGAGTTAACTTGACTTTAAATTCATTCCATATTGTCCGCTCATTCCTCATTCACACACTCATTCATTAGCTGTGCCGCCTGTCGATTTAAGCAATTTTTCACATTTACGGAGCTCGCACTTTTGATTAATTGTACCTCAATGAGCTTTGTTTGATGTATTTTCGGTCGTTTTATAGCGTGCGAGTTTTAGGAGAAGTATCTGCACTGCTTTTGGCTGTGAAGGCAATTTATTAAATTGCTGGCTAAGTGAACGGGTAGAGGCTGCTTTCTAGCGATAAGGTTAGGGGCCTTTTAGTTTTAGATATATATATATATATATGTATATATATATATATATGTATCATATAATTAATGTAGCATTTTGTAGCATTTTGTGGGATTTGGAATTGTTGTGGGCTCGAGCTACAGGCTCTAGTAGTTATATGAATTTGCTGTTGCCTGTGCTTCGAACCGGATCCTTCATACTAAGCTGCTCATCAAACTCTCGCAACTAACTAGAACCGCTTGGCTAATAATAAATTTGATTGAATTATATATTGTATCATTATAAATGAGTGTATTTATCATGTAATTTCAATTAGTTCAAGAATTTAAATTGATGAGATTAAATATTTGGATATGAAATACAACTAATCTCAATCTATGAGTTTCGCAGCGCCAACAACTTCTTGGCCTTTCCAGTTATTGTGGTGGTTGCGGTGGCGCGAAAAAGCTCACTGAAAAGCACAGAGAGAACCACACAAGAGGCAAACTTGCCCAAGCTGCCACTTGTGCTCACTGCTTTGTGTGTGTGTGTGTGTGTATCTAGTGTGTGTATGTGTTGTTGTTGCTGCTATTATAGTTGGTCTCTGTCCTTTTGCGCATGCGCCGCCGACTCGTTGGTGAAGTTTAGTTTGTTGGTGTTGGATCCATTGGTATGGAAAAGGTTTTCCTCTAGCCAGAAGCGCGGTATATAAAGCGAAATACAACAACTTGGGCGGCTCAGTTGCTGTCGGTCTCAAGTAAATGTTGGCGCACCGCTAAACGTGATTAATAATTATATATAAAAAAAATAAAAACAATCAACAACTTCAGTTTCAGTTTCAAGTCCCGGTTCATTAGATCAATTGAAAGTGATTTTTGGTGCCATTGTTGTTGCTGCTTTTTGGAGCTGGGTTGTTGCCAGCGAAGGTCTTTTGCAATTAAAGCCGTTTAAACGCTACGAAATAGCTGTGAACAAAGCAAAACGCCAGCTGAAATGAAAATGAAAGTGGTAGGTTCCAGAGAATGTTGTGCAAATACTGACAATGGGCACTGTAACAGCCACTACATGCTGCACTTGGCAAAGGTTAAAGTTGAGCCCCAATGCGTTGGAAGCCAGGCCAATCAAATGCAGTTAGTAGCAGTTAGTTGCAATGCCTGTCTGGCTGGTTACGTCATACGCCTTATAGACAGTGCCGTGTACTGTGTGAAAATATCGCATAATTTGCTATGCAAATCGAGTCAAACCGTTAATTTTGCTCTCTAACCAGATAGTCGAGCAATCGCTCGATTTTGTGCACCCAATTTGGTAACTGGATTTTGTTTTACTTTTTTATACCCATTGAAAATCGGATGCCAAAGGGTATATTGGTTTTTTGTCTATGTAAGTAGCAGGCAGAAGGAGTCATTTGAGATCCCTTGAAGTATATAGACTTATGATCAGTATGGCAACTAGGATAATCTAGCCGTGTCTCTCTTTCTCTCTCTGTCTACCTACAGAGAGTTCGAATTTTAATTATGTATTTTTTTGTTGTTGATACATCCTATTTCTGTAATATCAATAAATATCGATTCCTCCTCATATTCTCCCCACATAAAATAATGGTCGATGAGGATAGATCCCTGCGCGTTGGAATATAAACACAGTTTGGTGCCGAAATTGGGGCTTGAAATTTTCAAAAGGATCGAACTATTAAGAGTGGAGTTAAGTCCTTAATTCCCTTAAATTTGAGCTGGGGGAATAAGAAGCAAAGACCCTGCGTAACGTGTACAAAAAGCTCGTGTGTGTATGGATGCTTTAGTTTATACTATATGTGGTTTCTCGGTTATTTAGGGTATATACTTGTCGTGCATTCTTTTCTTTTCATTTCGAGTCCAACACATAATTTATGAGCTAGAGCCCCAGCTGTCGACGTGTGTCTCGTAATTGCGTTGAATTCTATTGGAAAAAAAAAATGGTTGCAGGAACTTCAATTTCAGCTAAGAAAAAGTTGCGCTAACAAGCGCGCTTCAGACTGCGATGCCAATGTGCTGCTAAAACAATCTCCAACACCCGCCCTCTCACGTGCCCCCCTTGCTCAGAGCGCAAATATCAAAGGCAACTCCAAATGCAGTTCACACGCTGCGATTCGCAGCCAGCTTTTACGGTCAGTTGCTGTCAACAAAAAAAAAAAAAGAAAAAAAAAATGCAGAAAAATTGGCATCAACTGAAAACGTTGGCAACAGTAGCTGCTGCTGTTACTGCAGCTACTGCTGCTGCAATGTGGTCCAGTGTCCATGTCCATGCCAGCGGCAGATTGTCCAACAACTTCACAACTCTGTGAGCCAAGGCTATGGCATATGCCTGACATATGGAGCTTCAGTGAAAGGTTTGCCAGACAAAAGCATAGTCGAATCCGAATGGGAATGGAGCATACGTATAGACGGTGGCTTGTTAAGGACCAAATGTCCATTGAATCCGTCTACAGTTGGGCGAATTTGTGTGTCTGTTGCTCTAATTTGATTAGCCAGTTCAAAAGCCGCAACCCGTGCGAATTTTGTCAGCCAAAATCTGTCAAACAACAGTCAAAGAAGTAGTCAATCTAATATACCCTAGAAAATAATAGATTTTAAATAGTAGATTATTCAACGTACTGCAATATTTTTATGAGATAAATCAACAGAGCCTCTGATCACAAATAATTTGTTAAGATAAGAAATATATATGCCTTAGAAGTGTAGTAGTTGGTACCTTAAGTTGATCTATTATTTGTAGGGTATTACCTCATCAAAATGACTGTTTATTTATATTTATTTAAATAAATAAATCAAATCAACCAAATTTGTTGGTTACCCTTCGAGCATTTTTATAATTACAGGGTATATAGCTATAAATAAATAGCTGTTACTTTGCTTCTGTTTTTTTTAATACATTTCTCATCTATATCTTCATAATACCCTTTGTATCCATTTCATTATTACAGGGTATATCTACAGTTAAATTCCATTTATACAGGGTATAATTATAGCTGAAGGTAGTGAGTTGCAGAAAAGAAGTTTGTTATGGTTAGTTTTAACAGCCCCATTTATAACTATTTAACGTCTACAGGGTATAGTAACAGCACCTGAATGCAGGCTACTTTATGGTATTTTAATACCTAAAATTTATGCTTGACAGCATATAAGAAACCAACTCCTTGGTTGACTGGCTAGAAGACGATATTTTCAAACAGAGGTATAAAAATGTAATACTATTTATTTTTATGTTTATTGACTATGCTGTGCTGTTGGTATACCCTGTGGGCATAATGTGCTAAGAAGGGGATGCACAACTTACAAAAAATGGTTCTTTTAAACCTTTATAGCCGTGTTCTGTGCACGGGGGATAAAAACAGTTGAGTTTTGATAACTCAAATGGAAAGGTTAAATTTTTTAGTCGCTCGCATAAGCTAGCTCAACTCGTGCATACCCATTACACCAATTAAATGTTTACAGGGTATTTGAGTCACACAAGCTCGTAGTCCAGCGTTTGGTACGCTTGTCAAGCTGTCGACTGACAGTCTTCACTTGGCCCCCCTCTTTCCGCCCACTGCCTGCGGCTGTTGTAATTTCTTTAGCATTTGCATGCTTGAGATGCATCTTTCAGATACTTGTGCAACATATCACCGATTGGCATGTGTGTGGGAAATTTTCCTTTTGCATCTTCTACTCGCTGCATCGAGTGGAATTCCCGCAGTTGGGCATAATTTGTGTGCACTCGAATTATTTAACCAAATAACAACAACAAAGCGTGGGAGTTGCAACGGGGGAAAATGAAAAATTACAGAAAAAACTTTTCCATGCATTTCACCTGTGGATATTCAATTAAACTTTTGCCCATTGGCTGTGGCCATCCGTCGGCATATCGCGTGTCGCTTGGGCTTTATGCAACGTTGCGGCATACCTTATGCCACGTAGTCGTATCTATTTGCCGCCATCGGTTCCTGCTTGGCATTGAGGGCGTCCCAGTCACAATGACAAGCGATTCGATACCCCAGCCGGTGTCATTGGCCAGTGGGCAAAAAAAATATTTATATATATATATAATAAAAAGTGAAAGGTAGCCTGACTTAAGACTTTTGTAGACATCAAACCGTGGCATATTCTTTGCCGCCTGTGCACTGTCAAGGTGTACGGGCTACTCATACTAGCAGCTGCTTTATCTGGCAATTAGCAAACCGGTTGCCATTTCAGTGCGATAATCTCACGTTCTCCTCCATTTCCAGCTACAACGTTTACTGTTAATCGGCTGTCTGCTTGGCAGCCTGGTCAGCGCTCAGGACTATCAGGATTACCAGCCGAGTGCACCTCGAGCGGCGCCCCATAGACTGCATGCCAGCGCACAGGAGGAGACGCGACCCGCGCCTGTGGCCATACTCAAGCAGATCAACAAGTGAGTTCGTAGCTATACGCTTTTGTATCTGTAATATATATATAACTACTTGTCTTGACTGACTGAATGATTGACAGGCTGACTGACTATCTAACCGAGTGACTGACTGACAGAAAAACCGATAGATTAACGACTCAATGATAAACTGGCTAATAAACTGACTACCTGATGCCCTGACACTGGCTGACGGCCTAGGCAGTCTGGACTGACTAATAAAAGAACTGACTGGTGGATTGACTGGCTAACTGATTAACTAATTGACTGTGTGACTGGTGGACTGACTGATGTACTAAATGAATGGATGGCTGACTGACTGAGTGATTGACTGACTGACTGAAGGGCTGGAAAGTGGACAGACTAACTTAAGAACTGACTGATTGACTGACTGATGGATTGACTGACTAACTGATTAACTGACTGATTTACTGAGTGACTGGCATACTGACTGATGTATTAAATGAGTGGATGGATGACTGAGTGATTGACTGACTGACTGAAGGGCTGGCTAGTGGACAGACTAACTTACGAACTGACTGACTGATGGTTTGACTGGATGACTGATTATTTAACTGACTGATTAATGGATAATCAAGCTTGCAAGTATTTTGTGCAATACTTACCCCTTTTACGCTGTAAGTGCTCACTTTCCTTGTTGCCTTTTTAGTTGTATGAAATCATTTACTTTTCAGGCACAATGAAGATGGCTCCTATACGTACGGCTATGAGGGCGCCGATGGTTCCTTTAAGATCGAAACGAAACTGGCCACTGGCGAGGTGAAGGGCAAGTATGGTTATGTTGATGCCGATGGCAAGGTGCGCGTCGTGGAGTACGGCGCCAACAAGTATGGCTTCCAGCCCTCGGGCGAGGGCATCACCGTAGCACCACCCACGCTGGTCGATGAGTCCACCAAGGAAGAGCCCGACTACGATGACGAGCCTGTGCAACGACCCCAGCGACCCTATGTAAGTTTAGTGAATCTTCTAGATTTACTCGACTTAAAGATCTGTTTGCCCCACAGCGCGTGCAACGTCCGCAGCAACAGCAGCAGCATCAGCCACGCCCACAGCCGCCACGCCCACAGCCGCAGCCGCAACCACAGTATGTGCAGTATGAGGAGGAGGAAGCGGAGCCGCAGCGTCGTGTGCAATACGCACCCCAGCCGCAGCCTTCGGTGGGTCCAGCACCGCCTCGTCTCCAAGTGCCTGGCGGTCAGCGCACCACAGATGTGCTCTACTCGCCGCTGCAGCGTCCCGCCCGTCCTGAGCCCGATTACACGCAGTCGCAGAGCTTCGGCGAGGGCCCCTCCAATGTGCGCATATCCCGGCCTGTCTATGCGCTGCCCCCCGCCTCGCCGGCGCCCAGCAGTGCACGCGCCCAGGGCTTCCTGGCACCCGCCTCGGGCGGTCGTCCGCTCCTAGAGCCCGCGCACTTCGGACCCAGCCAGGGCTCCAGTGCACAGCCCGTGCAGCAGCCGCAGCAACAGCCACAGCGTAGCTACCAGCCGCAGGCCCAGGGTCGCATTGGAGGTGGCGGCGGGGGCAGCCTTCTGGATCAGCTGGCGCGCGATTATGCCCTGCCCCAGGGCAATGCTCAGCCGTTGCACGACATTTCCTTTGGCTATTACTAGAAGTGGGCTGAGGAACTGGTATTGGGTAGTTAGGCGGCGCATTGGCCGCTCCTTTGAGTCAGGTGCATAATCAACGATAATCGTGTAGTTCCCCTACTTCCCCTACCCAAGCCCCTTTTACATTTCTGTTCCAACTATTCGCCAGTGATTCCTTGCTTCTATTTTCTAGAATTTTTAATCTATATGTATATTCCATTCGTATTATACTTAATAAAAAATCAAACAAGTTTTTTTCCTAATTTTGGGTGAAATTTCAAATTTTTTTTATAAAACGACAGGTTAAGTTTTGGAAGATAGTATTGTATATGAAATCTGCTGTTTAACAGGAGCTAATCCTACTTATATTGTTGTGGGTAATTTTTTGGAAACTTAGGACTAATATATTTATTTTTCATGTCGAATTTAGAGCTAGTATTTTTGATTGCATGTGTTGACCGGTTTTTAGTTAATATATAGATAGTCAATATATAGAGGATCTATTCCTTATTAAAATTACTATTTAGTATTTTGCAAAAAAAGGCAGCCAACTTCAAGTTGAATAAAAGCCTTTTGCTATATAAGAGGCATCCCTTTAGGAGTTGTATTGAAATGAGGTAAGGGACTCAAGTATTTTGTTTTCTTTAATTTTATATATATTTCAGATCGCAAATATTTATTTTCAATGGTTATAATTTGTATACGTTTATTCGTTAGGAAATTGAATAAGGAACGTTTTAGGCTTGAAATATATTTATGTGGAGATCAGAAAGTTACCGCAACATTCAAAGTATTTTTTATGGTATTTTTGCTCATGCTAAAAGTTGGTATACTCTTAGGATGAATAAAAAAATTACAAAAATCTTCAACGTGCATACAATATTCAAACGTAGAATAAATAGAGAATAGAAAATATAAAGAAACAACGTATTTGACATATATAATTTAAGTGTTTCCTGAAGCTTCTCAAAGAGATTTCGTTTTATACAGAAAATTGAAATTTGCATAGCATACTTTTAGGCGCGAGGTAAAATTTTAACAAATTTCTTTTGAGTGTTGTTCAACGATTATTTATTTTTATTAATATATATATTTATTATTATAAGATTAAATACTTAACAGTAAGATAGAAAATTTCGATATTAATTCGCAGCCAATAGTTTGATTTTGTGTGTAGGAGTTGAGAATCGTCTAAGCTAAAGATGAAGTGTGTAGATAGGCGTTTTGCTAAATCTATGGAATCGAAAGTGCTTGTTAACAGAATGGGCGTGGTCCACAGTTAACGCCCTTGGGCAGGTTGAGGGCTGGAAGAGCTGGTTCCACGTGGCGACTACTGCAGATACACTGTAAAGAGAGCGTCAGGTCAGATGTGTTTTGATTGAGTAGAATAGCTGTGACAGCCAGTTGCCAGGTGGTGTTTGGTGGTGGGGATGTTGGAAAATGGGCGTGGAGGTGCAGTGTTGGGATATACATAAAAGCAGTGCAAACAGAGTGTACTAGAGTTGTGGTGCTATAGATGCATGCCGTGCTATAGATTGGTTTTCAAACTCGTTTATTGCTGCTCGAGCTTCGAGTTCCATAAATATATGCAAATATATATATATATATTGACTACGCTGGAGCTTTTGGAAATTTGAGATAACATAAATAAATTAGGTTAGGACGAACTATAGTTAAATGCTGCATATGACTTAGTGGACTATTTAACTAGTGTTGAGCCAGTCCAGCGCTGCCTACGACTCCAGCAGGCGATTGAACATCAGCGGATCCTGTATGTCGTAGTCCTGCACCCGGGACATGGATGTGGCGCCTAGTGGTCGCTTGGCTGCCACATGACGACGCACTTTGTAGCCGCCGCTGTAACTGGGCCTGGGTGGTGCTGGTGGTGCACTGTAAACATATTTGGATTTCTGCACCACCGGCGGCAGATACTGGAATGGCGACACCTTGTGCACCTGCTTCTCAATGGAGTAGCTGGTGGGTCCACTGCTGCTGGGTCCCTTGCGCTTGGCCACCTCCAGGGCTGCTATTATGGGCGACAAATCCCTGAGCGCATTGCTCTTGCTCGCATGATAGTTCTCCACCTTGTACTCGTTGCTGGGCGCGGCCGGCGGTGCTGCTGGCGGCTGTGGTGGGTAATCGTAGCCCTCGTTGGGATGCTTCTGTATGTACGCCTCCTCCGCTGTTTGCGGCCGTTTGGCCATCTGATGATAGATATCGGCGGCTCCCTGGCTAGGTGGCGCATATGCCGCTGTGATGGATTCCGTGTGCGACAGGGATTCCAGTGTGCCCAGATTGTTGGGCAATGGAACACCGTAGCTGTTGTACAAATCGGCCTGCTCCACATGGGAGCCACTGGGCACTTGATTTGTGTCTAGTGCCACTGTCTTGGATGCGGTATATTCCGTCTTGCCATTCGGCAGCAGGCTCAAAATCTCCTGCAGCTGCAGCGCCGCCCGGCGCGCCTCATCATCCGACAGTTTCTTGTGGCGTCCATAGACGTTGAAGTCGTCGGTTCCGGCGGTGTTCACTGCGTCCGTGGTTTGGTTTGAACGGTGGTGTCGGTGGTGTGCGTGTTTATTTGTGTGTGTTTGTTGTGGTTTTTGTTGTTGTAGTTGTTGTTGTTGTGTATGCAATGAGTGAGATTTTATTAGATTTACCAATTAAATACTTGATTTGGTTCGTTAAAGTTTCTATTTACATTTTGTTGGCATTTGACTCGCTTTTTTGTGAGTCTGAGTGTGTGTGTGTGTGTATGTGAGTGTATGAGATGAGTTTTGGGCTTCGATAGAGTTTTGTACAGATGTTCATGTTTTATTTCATTTTTAGTTTTTATGATAAGTTTCTATACAATTATGCCCTTGCAGCAAGCTTTATATTTTGTTCATTCAGGCAAAAAAAGTCGCTGGCTCGAATCCCAAGCTAGATGTCTATACAGCATTGATAGCTTCGAGTTTTTGAATAGTTTACAACGATAATCCGTATAACTATAAAGATTAACAACTTAGCAGTTCTCGGTAGATAAAGTACTGAAGAACGAACAACCGGGTTCTCTGAATTTGTAACTCTATTGTGTATATAAATTAATATTAATATTGAATAAAAAGCTATTCATACACATAAGCTCAAGCATATGTATTCTTGATCAGCAGTCCTTTTGTCATTCTAGTGCGACAGCAACTTTTTCTAATGTTTCTTTTTGCTTTAGGCAAGAGTCGATTTTCTGGAAACTGTATTTTATAGCTGATATAGGAATGATCGACTTAATATGACTTGATGGTGTATTTTTTACGGTATCTTCCCAATAAAGAGATTTGTCAACAACGGACCACTATATCATTTAGCTCCCATCGGAAGATATATGTATATATTAAAATTTTGAACCGCCTGCAAGGGTATTTAATTTTCGGTATACCGAAAACAACTATTCTTTTGTGTATTTTATTTGTATATTTCGGTTTTAGTTGAGAGTTTCGGTTTAGTTGAGTAACAATATGCAAGTACTTAAAATAGATACATGAATAAATATATCTATAAAATGCAAATAAATATATAATTTTTATTTTTGATAGTTTTTTTCAGGGTTTAGGCTAGACCATATTATTGGCTTTTAGCCATTTTATAGCTAAATATATACAAATAATATTAAGTATGCGATATGTTGTCGCTTTTAATGACGCTTGGAATATCATGAGTGCTAAGGTTGGGATATATACACACACATATAAATAATAAAATATGTACAAAAGTAATAAATGATATATTGCAGTCGAAATGATTATTAATAACGCTTATTTATTATTATTTTTATGTACATAAAAAACAATAAACGCTGCCTTTTGGGCGCTTGCGCAATGCCATTTAAATTGCGTAAGCCGCGATTGAAACTGAAAGTTGAAGCCAAACACAAGTGTGTCATCGAAGTAAACACGCAGCTTGCCATACGGGTTAAAGAGTGCTGCACGATAGATTTAGATACACTGTGCTTGCACAAGGTAAGGAATATTGGCTTAAAATCTGCATATTACTATTTAATATATTCAACTCGGCTCTATATGGAATTGAAATACGTTCAGAAATTGAAATCAAATTATGTCAGATTAATTTAAAAAAAAACTAAGCAATGTTCAGTTTAAAACTGGCAGATTTACGCTTAGGGAAAGGTTAGAAAAAAGAATTTCAGAAATAAGAAAAAATCAATTTTTTTGTGCTTAACTAAGGTACGAACCTATATTACTTTTTTCAGTGTAGAGTATTCGAATTTGAGTGTTTATGTTCAGTGCAAGCAATACAAAAGGAGTCCAAAAAAATTCAACCTACTTTTGTCTTAAAATTATCCCATAATGCTTCAAAGGAACCGATTTTTAGCTTATATTGAGCTGATTTACGCTTAAGAAACGATAAATTTATTATTTTCAAAAATAAATAACGCATTTTGTCCTACGATTTTAATATGGATTATTCCATTTATGTTTTTCATCGAAGAGCGTTTACATCGGGTTGTTAAGACCTGTTCACAAATTGAACGATTAAATTGAATTAAATTAAGTACTATTAATTGCAGTACAAAATATATGAGAAGGGATTTGTGGCACTATTTCAAAATGCAAACTGCGGATTATACGATATTTTTAGTCTATTTCTAGTGAAAAGTAAAAAAAAATTAAAATTGAGAGTAAAATGAATTGTAAGCTTAAATCGAGTTGATTTACGCTTAAAATGCTGTCAATTTAAGAATTTTTTAAAGAAAAATTTAAGTATTTAAGCTGAAGAAACTGTGATTGTTAACTATATGAATTTTTTACTGGTGTAGAGTTTAAAGTAAAAGAGTTTACAAATTAAACCAAAATTAATTTTTTGCTTGAATCAAGATAATTTGTTTCAAAAATACGGTCAAGAAACTGTCAAAATTTTGTCTTGTGTAGAGTATTGGAGACTCTGTTGTTTGTAAATCTACGTCGGGTTGTTAAGATGTGTATTTACAGTTGTGTCAGACAAATTATGAGCACTTGATGCTTTCACTTTTTATCTGTTTGGGTATGCACGGAAGTGAGACCTCGTTAGAGCCAGCTGCCGGTGGAGCTGGTGGTGCGGTGGTTAACAACAGTGGTTGATATTTAGCGATTGACTGGACAACGCCTTGTCATTGTTATTGGTATTAAAATGATTGTGAGCGACTGTGGGGTGAACTTTTGGCTTATGGGCGATTAGTGAGAGGATACGAAATATTTACAGAGGGCATGAGGTATATACAGTTCGATTG